GAGCGACTGTTGAAAATAAGTGTATCGGTAAAGTTGTATTCGGAAAGAATAAACCAGTTTTATTAAGTAAGGACTTGTGTCGCTAAAGTTTCGTCGGAACGAAGTTACGGGAAATCAACTAACGAACGGAGACGTAACAAGTGTATTGTGAAAGATTTTATGTAGGATGATTGTAAACGTTGTTCTTATCAGTCCTAGTTGTCAACATTAAGTCGTAACGGATAATGTCTGTAGTCATAGCACCCAAATGCGTTGGGAATATTCCTTCTATCACATAAAATCCAAACACTGCTGTCTAACTAGCCAGCATCTATTGAAAATCAGTTAATGGTCAGGAGTTCAGTCTTACACCCACAACGTCTCAACTCCTACTGCCTTTCGCTGTCTGCACCCAGTTGTGGGAAGGAAGTTACCCCTAATACTCAGATACAACCTTGAAGTAGAAATAAAACCAACCTAAAAATTCTACATGGTAAAACTTCCAAATTCCACCCTTTTATTTACAAAAGGATATTAAACAGAACTAAACCCCTACCTTAATAGGGATTTTGGCCGTCACTCTCCTAACGCACTCACGGCCCTAAATTGCGTAGCAAATGTTTGTGGCAATAGGAAGCGAACCACGAAATCTTGGATTCTTAACCAGATATGAGGTCACGTCCAACCCGGCACAAAAATAGCAATAAAAACTAGGAGATAAACAATAAGGGGTAAAAATTAAATGTATCCTAGTGAGAAACAGTAAAATTCGTGTAAAAGATAACAATGTTGTAAAATGAAATTGTGAAAGACAAAATGCTATCGTTATTGCTATGTAAACTTCCATTTTTGAAGTGAAGATCGCCTCATTAGAGATTGTTTGTACGTAATGCCTTGTCAACATTTGTACTTGAAAGTCAAAATCTGAAAAAATAGAAACTATCGAAAAACAAAGCAAGATAGCTAAGCATAGACTATGAACAGGTGAAGTTGATTCAAATGTCTTTCCCTCTAAAAAATCTGTAGATGGAGGGGAGCATCAATATATGGTTGCCCCGTTCTAAAAACTGAGAGAAAGAGCTACCTCGAACCAGTCAGTATTTTCTCTGTGATTCAAAGGGAAAATAGCTATATGATCAGATATGGTTAGCAGCTAGAGTTAGCGATGGATGCTGTTCACTAACTGCATCTACAATGAAAGCAGGCTAGTCGTCAGCGCTTATTTCTGGGTATGTTGCTGTTGACTAGCTGCCTTCCCCGTAGTCTATCAATTGAAAATTTGATACAGTTAGCGCAGATAGCCCTTGAATAGCTTTGAAAAACTATACTGCTCATGGCGATAATGCTACAAAATTGCATGTTGTGCATGAATGTTCACAGCAGTGGCCTTCACTGATAGTGCAGGTGGTATCTCGAGGTTATGGCCTCACATACATTTGGTTAAGAATGACCAGTTATATGAGTAGCGTTAGTCACGTCTAGTAAATACGATGTTTCTTGCAAAGTAAGGAACATTGAATTTTATCAGTCTGGTAGATGGATTCAGCTTGATCAGTTGAAGATAGAAGATCCAGTAAAACTGATCATCCCTTGTCATAAAGGAAGTACATACACTGTGTTTGTGTTAAGTCTGTCTGTCTTTGCTCACTGTTTCCATATTTATTTCCAATATTGTGTATGTGTGTATGTACATGGAGGTAGCTCTTTCTCTCACTTTTTAGAACAGGGCAACCATATTTTGATGCTCCTCTCCATCTACACATTTTTTAGAGGGAAAGACATTCGAATCAACTTCACCTGTTCATAGTCTATGCTTAGTTATCTTGCTTTGTTTTTCGATAGTTGCTATTTTTTCAGACTTTGAGTTTCAAGTACAAATGTTGACAAAGCATTACGTACAAACAATCACTAATGAGGCGATCTTCACTTCAAAATGGAAGTTTACATAGCAATAACGATAACACACACACACAAATTTTTATTTTTATTTTCCCTTTGAATTCGTTTAGATTTCTAATTCAGTGTCTTTTGAAAGGTTTTAAGTAGCATGATTATAAGTGTTTTCTTATAAATGGTTGTTTTGTTTACACGCTTGGTATTAAAGCCTGGATTTTATATATACTAAAAGGTTTTTATTGCATAATTCAGTGTAATGTCAAAGTGCATTGTATCTTTATTAAAAGGTTATTTTTGTATTTCTATTCTTGTACTTATTTCTTTGATTTGACATATTTGTTTTTAAGGCTTATTGTTTTATTTTGCCTCGAACTAGAATATCAGTGTTAATGTTTTTGGTATAACTATTGTTCATGGGATCATTGTTAAAGGGTGTTTTTGATTAATAAAGTGAAAAATCAATGTCAATGATATAGGGGAAATCTTCCTGTAATATAAAGTGATTGATTGATGATTTTTATTGTTAATGGTTTTATGCTAAGGTGTATGTACTTGCATTAACATTAAAGAGTTTATTTTGTATTATATGTAGTTTCTGTGTTAAAGTGTTTATTTTTGTATTATCTTTATTATTCACTGTCGAGAATCAGTTTTAGTTTGTGTCTTTATTTTTTTTTCCAATGTGTAGTGATTAATATGTATCATTGTCAAATACTTTTTAATTACGTGTTCAAAATGCAGAGCATGTATTATTCCAAGCAGCAAAGTAGGTAAAGTTATTGATTTCGACCAACATCTCAACGGGTCCAGGATATTCCACAGAAAGTGGTAAACACTACAGCTATGGCTCCAGAAACGCTTGGTCACTGACTTGGGATACATGGCAGATAGCTTGCACCAAAGGGTTTGATGGTTGACTCAGATTTCTCAGGGCTGAGTAGACCTTGGTACATACCTTTGAGGGTAAAATAGCAAGTGATTGAGTTCATTATTGACACAGGATAAGCCAGAACACTGGTACATCTTGTGATACATCGAGTCCTCCAAGTTAAGCCACCACTCTGACCAGTGAATACTAACTTCATTCTAGCAAGTTATGATAGACTGGATGTAAATGGAGAGGCAAGTCTCTGGCTATGTCTAGGAAATTTTGCTCAAAAAAACGAAGACAATTACCTCTGATCTCGGTTCTGGCATTGGGATTCTCGGCATGGATGCAAATGCAGAAATTGTCAGGCAATTTCACTTATGCAACTGGTAAACTGATGTTTAATGGGGTTATCTGATGTCAATCAGATCAAGCTCAGGAACAATAAATTGTATGAGTGTATCTAGTGGAGGGGATGACAGTACTTCTGTGTACACAAGTCTAATGTTTCGATACAATGTAACCTCTTTATAGAAATCATGCATGAAATGAACTGTTTCCTGTTCAGAAAGCAGGCAGCATTAACATGGACAGTTATCTGTCCAAGGAGGAACGAGGTGTCGACGCTGTTTTGCAATTATGGGCAAAGAGCTATTCAGCTTTCTGCTATAATAGTTATAGGCATGGTAAACAAAGTGGAAGGAACTGAGGCTAGCAGTAATGCTAGGATTGTGCTTGTCATACCGTGATTTAAAACCAAGCTCGTAGCTACTGACACATCTGAGATGATTGGTTGAGTATTGTGGAAGTAATCAAGACCCATCACAGAAAAAAAGTGACTTTATGACTTGTTGGTTGCAAACACTCTAGACCTAATACAGCAAAAACCAAATCAGTGACCTGTTGGTTGAGTGTGCTGATGTATTTGTGTGACTAGATAGCCAATTGGTTTGAACAACAGTGGCTGACTACAGTGTAGATACAGGCAATGAATGGCCAAATAAAGCAAATACTGTACCAACTTCCTTGGAGTACTAGGGACGTGGCTAACAGTGAAATACAGTGGATGTTGAAAGATGAAGTAATACAACCTTTGAAAAGTGCTTGGTAGTTTCCACAAGTGATTGTCAGGAAAAAGCTACATCGTGATTCTTTGTTAATTTTAGATTGCTGCTGGCATATCCACAACAAAACAGCCGGTTCTAATTGGATACCAATAGCCAATAACAGTAGTAATAATGCAACTGGACCAGTGTTATTGAAGTTGCACCATGGAGCAGAACATATAATCATGTATGATAGTCATATGTCCATAGCTTCTAAATATAAATACTGTATGACAAAGAAGAAACGACTTGTAGTTGTAGTCCTCATAAAACACTATTGGTACCACTTGTATGGTAAGAAGTTTACCATCTGGGTGGACTATGCTTTGCTGAAATAGATAATGAACTTTAAAAATCTGGAAGAAATGATAGCACATTTGACAACAATGTTTCAAGAGTGTGATTTAATCATACATTATCACCTAGGCTCCCAAGAATATGATTTGTCATAGTGCATTACTCTTGTCTCCAACACGGAAAACGTGGATGGACTAGCTCACCATACAGTCTATTCATTTACTGTCCTGACCTGGATACCGTGCAAGAGTTAAACATTTTCTAATACTATATAATATACAGAAATCAGTTTAATCAGAGAATACCCCAGCCGTAAGGTTAATTCAATTCTATCTGTATGCACCACAAGGCAGTACTTTCTCTCGAAATTCCTTCTTTGATGCTTTCCCTAAGTACATCATATTGCTAGAAGTTGTCTCAATGGCAAGAGTTGTTTGTTATCAAGCACAAAGCTTCATAAAGAGTTATATGTGCTCTGCCCACCACGGGTATCGAAACCTGGTTTCTAGCGATACAAGTCCGCAGACATGTCTCTGTGCCACTGGGGGAAAAGGGCAAAATCGCGTAATGAAAGCATTCATCGTGTCATTTTTAACTGCAAAGGTGTAAAAACCAAGGGTTTTTTTTTTTTCGACCGCATCTGAATAAACAAAACCTAATAATATAATAGATCACTTGAATCATGTTATTTTTCGGGTCTTCATCCCTGACATTACAACTAGCGTTTTTACTGACTGAGATATTCTTAATATTTATGTTTTTATTAATTCTTGATTATCCAAGATTTTGATACGACAATTGAGCAGTTATTTATTTTTTTAATGATTTTATATTGTTTAGCTCAAGAGGTTGCAGCACATGCCACAAGAGTAACCATAATGTCGTTTAAACGGGACGGTGATGATTTTGCCCTACTTCGTAATCTGAAGGTTTGTAAGCGATTATGTTTGGTGTTAATTTATATATATATTATTATTGTTAACTATCTCTCAACATGCATTAATTATTAAAGTAGTCAGACTGCATATAATTAAGGGCACCATTATTATTAGTGTCACTGTAGACTATCAGTATCATGTTGAAAAATAAAGTTTTAGTTTTATGTAAATATTGACTGTATCAGTATTTGTAATTTTGCCTTTAAATTAAAATCTGGAGCTTAATTACACTAGTCTTAGTATCGTTATGATTATTAATGATTGCCACCGGAATGTTGAACTAGTAGAAGTAAGACTTTGGCTTTTAATGTTATTGCCACCTATCTGTGTCACTGTCAGTGGCAACTTCCAAAAGATACAAAAGGAGAATGAGTACCCAACCTGATATTTCTGTAGAGTTACACCGTTCTTAATACAACTGTAACCCTCTCAGTGAATATTGCACATAAAGTTTATGATAAACGATATAGTGACATTACTGTTTTACTTTGTGGGTACACTGCCAATTATATAGTTTCTTCAACTTTTAGTTGTACAATTTTATTGTAAAATAACTAACCAAGTTGAAACCCAAAAAACTTTAGTATAAATTATGATTTAAATAAATTACATATATTAATACTTATAACAATTCTAGGTAAGAGTTCCATATGGCACCCCCCCACTCAATTTAAAAAAAAATTCATCAAAGTAATATTTATGTATTAATAACTCATATTAATAGTGTGATCTGATAATTTTAATACATTTATTATACCTCTTACTTCATTAATTAGATGTACAATCTTCTTGGGGATAAACTTTACAAACGTCTTGTATAAAGGCATCAAAAAGGCTACTTTTATCAGAATATAATGTTCTCCACATGTATTCACACAAATGCTTGTCAAAGCCATGCCCCAATTTTTCTAATACGCCCCTTAAAATAAACCCTTTTCAGAATCTTTTTTATCCAGGCAATTATACAATTTTTGGGTGGGGGTGCCATATGGAACTCTTTCCCGATTCTATAGACTTGTGTAATTAGGCTCCTTTTGTATTTTTCTCTTTTGGCCATTACTATTGCCACTGACAGAATGGTGGCAATAAAAGCCACTTACTTACAATTTCAACCTACCGGAGGCAGTCACTGCTACAGAAAATCTATTAACACCGACATCAACAGTTTAGTTTGCCTGACTAACCCCAATATTTCCCGTCAGTTGTCACAAGATGGACTACTTTAGTAATCATGAGCTGATTGATGCTAGTAGCAGTATCATGTAAAAATATTAACACATACACGTTGGGATAGCGTTTTCTTTTTTTCTGGAAATTTAAAACTAGTGTATATCTCCTTAAAAAGAAATGACCTTACCCCTTTTGTATCTTTAAAATTAAAAATTGTAGCAACCTATAGTTTAATTTACGTTTGTCTGTGTCAATAGCAGTATCTTGGTTTTAATTGCCACATTCTTATTGGTGTCAATAGCCACTTTGTTTTCTTTTCTTGTATGGTACAACACAGTACCCTACATCAAATTTAGGACAAGGAAATTATTGGTCTATCTAGGCCATCCCATCCATACTAAACTTAACTTTGAAAAAAAAAATTAAAGCCAGCCGTTATCATTCAAATATTTATAAAGATATCCTCTAAACTCATTTAAATTTACACCATCCACCACATGTGCGTGAAACCCATTCCAAACTGCCTTATTAAAAAATAAAATTGTATTAGTTGAAGATGACATCTATCCTGTTCAAATTTATATTTGTGCACCCTAGCTCTATCATTCTCACCATTAAGTAGAAAAAAAAGATGATGCATCAAAATTATCAGTTTCGTTAAGAATCTAAAAAACCTAATAAGATCCCCTCTAGCTCAACTTCTTCTAGTATCATCTTAGTAGCCCTCCTCCTCTTAAGCCTTTCCTTTAATTCAGTGTCCTTCTTAATGTAATCAGCCAAAGACTAAACACAGTACCTCAAAAAATGCCTAACCAATGACCTATACAATGAAATTATAACCTCTTTAGACTTTTGTTCAATATTTTTTTTAGATACAACGTAAAATCCTACTGCCCTACCAATATAGCAACAGCACATTACTTGGATGGCTTAGGAGACTGAACAACCAGAATATCAAGATCATTTTCTTCCTTAACACTGTTAAGGTTATTTCCATTAACATTACACATATAATTAAAATTATTATATTCTACATGCATCACCTTGCAATTATTATAATTATTAGAAGTCATCTGTCATTTATTTTCCCAGTTCATCAAATAATTTAAACCCTTAAGTAAAGCAGCAACATCCTTCTCAAAGCCAACAACATCCAATATCTTAATATGATCCATAAATTTAAATAACTTATTTACCATTCCTTCATCTATGTCATTGATGTAGATCAAAAATAGCAAAGGTCCCTATTTGTGAAATTAACCCAGTTTGACTAGACTCTATTTATAACAATCCTCTACTTTCTTCCATCCAGCCACTTTTCTATCTAATGATTCAACTTATTCCCCATATCTATAAACATATTTTTTTCTTAAACAAGCCTTTTATGTGGTATCTTGTCAGTGCTTTTTGAAAATCCAGATATACCAAATCCACACACACTACATAACACCTTCAGAAAATGTCAAGAGAATTGTAAGACAAGATTTTTTCCCTAGTGAAATCATGATGATTATCCAAGAAAATTTTGAAGTTTGTTAAATGACTTTGCAAAGCATCTTATATCAGACTTTCAAAAATGTGCTGACCAGTGATTTAAGACTAAGAGGTGTATAATTATCAAGACAATTTTTATCACCTCCATTGAAAATAGGAGTGATGTTAGCTCAACTCCAATTTCCTGGCACTTATCCACTATTCAAGGACTTAAAAAAATTATTAGAAAGGTGATGTCTATGTCAGTTCTCACTGTAAAACATTAGGTTTAATTTTCAACTATAAAATGACCATCAGGCATTGGTAAAGCTGGTAGACTCACTGTCATGTGTTCACTTACTTACTGTGGTGCAGAAAGCCACACATCCCAATGATGTTACCATTCCATCAACCAAACAACTAACTAGAGCAGAACATACAGACAATAAGAGACCACTTGATCTTTAAAGAATGTCCTTTCACACCACTCTTGTAAAAATTTAAATCCAAGAAATTATCTATTCCTCTCTTAAACTCATGTAACATGCAAGTGACCACAAAAGCAACTCACATAAGCCAATCGTCCTGTTAGGAAAATATGGTCGTCTCAGACAAGTTATATTTTGGTGAACTTTACATATATTCAGATCATAAAGATTTTGTTTAATTAAATAAATATGTTTCAGTCAGTATGTTTTATTGCACTTTAACAACAAAATGAATCAAATGACTTTTGATTTTCAAAAAGCAGCACATACACACAATTATTTTGTGTGTGTGTCTGTGAATATTTGTAACTATTTTGTTTTCTTCATCTACTCTGCCAAGAAATACCCTATTTTTAACACAGAATTAAAGGCACAATACCAAAGTTGTTACTACTTATTAAGATTTAAATATTTGGGTTAATGCCCAGTTTTGTATAGTTGTAACCTTTAGAATGTTACTTTTCATAACCCAATGTATAAAGCATTAAATTTTTTACTGCTTAAAAATTCATATACCACTACTTTTAAATTTTCAGCGTAGGCGTGTGAGTGACTTGCTTGTTGGTCACATTCCTGAAGATGAGGCTTTACTTCTCAAGAACGGCAGGTTGGTGAGAGTTTAAGTAAATCTGTAGCTATAAGTTAGTGTTATTTACCTTAAAATAATTTGAGACTGGTATTTTAGTTATTGGATTTCAGGTGCTGTTATGAACATAAAAATATTATAAATCTGACTGCCAGCTACACAGCTAATGGCAAAAGTTGACATTGTTTTTTTCTTGTATTTGTCAATGTGATCATTCCATATCTAATCTGTTTTTGTATGCAACGTGTATAAGTATTTGACTAGTATATATATATATATATATCACTGTAGCTAAGAATGAAGGGGCATTCTTATTTTTAGCCACTATAAGCTTCACCTAAATACTAAAGTATAAAACAATTTATATTATATTTTTAAATTAACTTGTTGCTAGTTATACATTTTGTACACATCAGTGAAAACTAACATCTGTTTTCACATTAAAATAGAAGTATTCTTTTCAAAGTAGGTAAAAATGAGGGGGTGACTTAGTGATCTGAAATGGACTTTTATCATTGCACTTTATTTTTTAATATGCCTATATTACTGTTAAGTTTTTACTGAACTGTTGCACTTACCACAGAAAATTTGAAGCTATAAAGAAACATTTAAGAAATAACTTTTATCTAGTCCAGTTGCATTAAAATTTTGATTATCTTTTAAAGAAAGATCTTTTTGATATTGGTGTTCTTGTCCATTTAGACATGAATAAATATTTGAATTATCACTAGAATATTATGTTTATGTATGTATTATAAATATTTTGTTCATTATGGAAAAAAAAAATCTTCCTATATTCAGATACACTTGTACTGTGTGCTCTTACCGCCCCATTTTTGACACCATTGAAACTTTGTCCTTACACAGAAAAGGAAAGAGGCACTTAAACAGTAAGTTGGTTAAAATAGTCTTCCGAAGATTTGTATATAAAAATAGTCTCTTAACTTCAGAAGAGTGTTATTTAATTGCAAATGTGTTTTTGTCTACAAGATAACTTTCCAAACTGATGCTATATAAGTAAACTAGATTTTCTATATCACTTAGAAACATTTCAGTAGCATGAAATGCAGCACATCATTGTGTAAATGTACATATAAATGCTTACTTATTTCTTAAGTTTTCCTGTGCAATTTTATCTATACTCTTCAGTTTTTAATACACAGTCTAAGGTCTATATTTTACTCTATTGTGTTAATTTGTTATACACAGCTAACCATAGTGTCCATTGAGAGGTTGAGAATGGGGACTAGTAGCCATCAAAATAATTAATACAACTTGTGTAATTTGGATGATATGAAATATCATAGTATCTAATCCAGTAAGTATTATTGTCTTTAAATTCATTGTTACTTTGTGATTTATATTAAATTAGTAAAGAAAAATTGTTTACTTTTTTTCTTTATTTCCTTCTAAGACTTAACTAGGCATCTTGCTCAACAGCATGAGCTTCTTTTGCTCAAACAGAAAAAAGAACACAAAGCATTTATAGAAACAGGTTCAACAAAACTTTCTGGAGAGAAGGTAGAGAAATGTTTTTTTTATTCATCTTTCCTTTTACATTAAAATACTTAACAATAGCACATAGAAATTAAAATGGAAAGAGATTAAAACTTGCCACTACTTTAAAAAAATTTAAATATTCAAAAAATGTTTTTATTCATCCCCCAAAACTTATTTATTGTGACATGTGACAAGAGCTTAAATTGTACTTGTTTTTTTTTTTTCCACTTCAACAAGTAGTGATAATTCCTGTAAACATCTTTGGATGAGCTCTTTCTAGTAATATATACTAAACTTTGTGTGTGTACATCTAGTTGTTAAGCTTATTCCAAAGCATAGGAAAGATCAAGATGATAAAAAGCCATTCAGTCCATTGTGGTTACTCTTGTACCCACTAAACTAAATGTGTGCTCGACATCCACATAATCTATTTGTATATAATAGACAGGTAATGTCGACTAACAGCACACATCATATCATCTAGCAAACAATTCTGCAAATTTATTGTTATCAAAGTGAAATAATCTTACAAAAAAATAAATCTGGATCTAGGATTCAAAGGAAAATTTTTCAAACTTCTAAGAGGTTTAAACATTTCAATAAGATCCTTTTTTTTTTCTTGATCAAGCCAACTAGTGGAAAGACCATTCCCTTTTCATCAGCTGGTAGGTGTGTAGAAGGATACATTTGATAGTCATTAAATAATGTTGACCTTCCATTATTTTGAATTTTAGAGGCAAATGAGGATCTATTTTAAAAGATGACCTGTCTTCTTATAATAGGTATTACATATTCATTCAGAACATAAGGGCTTAAGTTTTGTCATTCATAATTGATACTATTCAAGATAAGCATGAAATGGTTTAATCCTGTGGTGGGCAATGTCTTATAACCTTTGGTGTCATAAGCATTTCTTCATATTCTTCCCTAAGCAATAGTGTTTCATTTGGAATGTTGGTTCTATAATCGTTTTTATGCTTGGAATATTTCTGAGAATAGAAACGTTTTACAGTTTTAATTACTATGATTTAACTTGAGTAATATAGTTTTTTGTTTTAGTTACTGATATCTATGATTTAGTCTTTTCACAACTTTTCTGCATCCCACTTTCCTCAACTTTCATCTTCAAAAACAAAGTCTAGATATTTCCAAAGACTGCTCACTGTAAATTAAAAAAAATTACTTAACAATAACATATAATACATGTACTATTTAGTTTTTGCTTTAGAACTATAAGAGTTAATTGATAAATGTTATCTTTTCTACTTTAACTTAAGTTGCTAATTGTACAAGATTCCTCAAGTGTAAATGTAAACATTTCATTGTTTGAAAAAAAAACATTTACATGAGGAAGGGCATTCACCCAAAATATTGTATGGTTTATCAAAATATTTTGTGTCACAAATCTCTGTTCATCCTTGTTCATTTCTCAAGCAGCACAGTGCTTTATTATGACTGTAAGTAGTACCTTTGTTTTTGTTGACAAACACCTTACTTATTTACACTTTCTTTAATATTAGTGTTTCTTTTTTGGTTTTATCATGTTGAGCTTACGTTTAATTCCATTTGTGATTCAAGACATTTTGAATTACCCTTTTTTTTGGCAAAGGAAACTGTTATATTTTGTAATATTTTTGAATAATTTTAGGTGATCCTTTTAGAAAAAGCTGTGGTATACTTTTAATTTTTTTTCTATTTTATGAACTAAATACGTGTGTGTGTCCTAAAAATTAGCAGACAGCTATAGTCAAAGACAAATTTATAATATCACACCACATTTTACAGAGAACTTTTAAATCTTGAGTTCCATTAAATTATTTTAACTTTTATTGCTTAATTCTGAAATGTTACTACCTTCTCACCCGAAGCTATCTCGACCTTGATTTGCTCTCTAAGCTTTGCTAAAATGTTTTCAACAGTGCACCAGTCTTTTATACCCCTTCATTATTGCACCATTGCAGCAACAAGTACTGATCACGTGATTATCCTCCTCCAATCATACTATGCTAATTATACTAGCACAAGTAGCTCCCTCTACCATTGCAGCACAAGCCTCACTTTCTCGTTTGGCATTCTAGTGTATAGATGTGTGTTTTAACTCATTCCCCATGTGACTATAAGATTTTGATTTTGCTTGATCACAACTTTATATCAGTTTCAACTTCTTGTTTTTGATTTCCAATGTTTTAGAAATGTTTATGTTTCCGAATTCTACTTTGATCATATGAATTCAAGGCTTTAGTTTGTGGAGAGTGCATGCCTTATGTTTGGCCAATTACTCTGTGGAAATTGTCTTTCTATGGCACTTTCCACCTGTTACCACACCTCCATGTAATCTGCTGGTTTAGGTATTGTTCTTTTCCCACGAAATATGTGGTAAGTTTTTCAGTGTGTATTTCTCACTCCCCATAAGTATACCCATGTTCAATGAATTTATGTAAGTTTGTGTGGATGAACTTTCTGCACTTGATAATTTAGGTCATTCATGTCTTTTATGCTCAGTATTGGGTACCTTTTTATTCTCATGTTCTTTAGGATTGGTTTTAATTTAGCGTCCTTTGACTTATACATTCTTTGGGTGAACATCTGCATTCCCTTAGTGGTTTTGTACTTTGGGTGTTACTTATTGTTTTCTGTTTTAGGTTGAATTTCATAGTTTTGCAGGTTTGTACTTTGTACACTTTACACATTTCTACATTTTGTTAGTTCATTAGTAACGAGTACTTTCTCTCAGTATATTTAGCTTATGTGTCTTTGGCTACACTTCACGACAATTCCGTAGGTTCTGTCTGTGGGTTCCTGCCTTCCATTTTGCTCTCCCTCTATCCACTTTCCAGATCTCCATCCCTCCACCTTGGGATAGTACCTCATCCAGTCATCTTGCCTAGTCTGTTCGAGACCTACTACATAAAGGAGCTATCGAACAGGTTTTGCCCACTCAACCAGGATTTTATTCCCATCTATTTGTTGTGTCCAAAATACACAGGAGAGTGGAGTCCCATTATATCTCTTTTTTTTCCCAGCTGTATTCTTATCTGGAGACACCTCACTTCACTCTGGAGTCCTACCTCTTGCTTAGGTGGATTTTTTTCCTTAGTGTCATGTCGTTTCTCTTCAGTTCCTACATGAGGGTTCTGTCTTCCAGCTCTGGGTGCTGCCATTCAGTCTTTCTTCAGCTCTCTATGTGTTTTGTCAAGTGATATGCTTTTGCACGTCATCTTGCACTGGGTCTTCAGACTCCCTTGAACATGGACAATTGGCTTCTGCTCACCTCTTCCCATGCCCAGTCAGTCACTCACACCTGCTTACTTCTTCGAAAAGATGCTTGGGTGAGGTTTATCATCAAGTTGGAGAAGTGTTTTACTATCCCCTCACAGTATCTTATTCATTTGGAGTTTTTCTTCACTTTCTATTTCAGCATTCTCCACTTCAGCTCCAGGATATGGAGGAGCTGTCACATAGGCCATACCTTCTCCTTCTCTCTCTCTGCACGAGAGGTTCTCTCTCTTTTGGGGTTGTGGGCTTCCTTGAAAGCTCTCATTTCCTTGCGTTGGGTGCACATGTATTCCCTTCACTGGGCAGTGAACTTCCCCCAAGATCTCCTGGACCATCCCATCTCTCTTCTACCTGGGATCAGGGCTGATCTTGCTTGTTGGCTCTACAGGGACTTGACCACAGTGGGGGTTCCCATTCCTCCACCTTGTACCGAGTCTCATCTGTTTACAGTTGCTTCCTTGGGGGGCTTTCCTTGATTCTCCAGAGATTTTGGGTTGGTAGTCAGTCGAGGAGGTTGCTCTCCATTTCCACATCCTGGAACCTTTCACAGTTCATCAGGCTCTGTATCATTTCCTCCCATTCCTGTGGGGGTGGGTGGTTATGGTTCATTCTGACAATTCCACTGTCATCAGCTATATTATCAAGCAAGGGGGTAACCAATTCCAGATCTCCGTGTTTTCCGGCTCTGGATCTCCTGTACTAGACCATGACATGACTGTTCTGGCATGTCATGTTCCTGGAGGTATGAATCTTGTGGCCAATCGCTTATCACGCCCCAACCAAGTTCTCCCCATGGAGTGGTCCTTTCATCCTCAGGTTTTTCTGTGATGAGTGTGTTCTCAACTGGGAACTTTGCATATATATGTATTTCCTGTTCACTGGAATGCCAAACTTCCTTCCTTTTTGGTCTCCAGTTTCTCACACCTCAGCTCTGGGGATGGGTACTTTCAGTTCAGATTAGAGGGGTTTTCACCTATATGCCTACCCTCCAATCAGACTCTTTGCCTTGGTCTTTTCCCTTATCCAGGTCACTCTTTGTTTTTTCTGCTGTCCGTATTGGCTGGCTCAGATGTAGTTCCCTCTGCTCTGGCCCTTACTGGAGCTACAGCCCCTGCTTTTATTTATCTCTGTCCTAATTGCTCCTCCAACAACCACGATGGACATTTTTCATCCCAAGTCACCACACTCCAGTTTCACATATGACTTTTGTCCAGTCTTGTGCTTCAACTGTGGGACTCCCCCTCACGTAGCATCTTTCCTTGCTTGTACCTTTTGCCCTTCCTCCTTGTCTATGTACCAGAGGCTTTGGTCTTACTTCAGACTTGGGTCTATTGCCTATGGCTTCTGACCATCCCATCCTTCTGTTCCTCACCTGTCCCAGTTCTTTATCTGATTGTTTCTTCAGATCTTGTCTGTTTTAACTGTTGCTCTTTTTAGGGCCACCCTGTTGAACACCTTCCTTTCTCCCACTTACAGAATGCTTTCTTTTCCCTGGTTTTTTTTCTCCTTTTCCAGTCCTTTCATCTGGTCCATCCTCCCTGTTCTTTTATTCTGCTGGTTTGGGATATGATTATTGTCCTTCATGCCCTGTCTGGTTCTCCCTTTGAACCCTTTGTAATGTGTTCCTTGTACCAATTTCCCTTAAGACCTATTCCCCCCCTTTGGCATCATTCCAATATTTATGCCATTAATGTTTCCCTCATCCTTTACCATTCCTCTTGTATTATCCGCTTTCTGAATCAGATTTTCCTTCCCAGGACATCGGCTGCATGGAAAGGTTGTTGGGCTTATTCTCCTATTTCCTTTCTATCCTTTTCCCACCTGTTCTTCCATTTGGATCCAGATTGTCTACTTTGTCCAGTTTGTTACCTGCTAAGTTATATGGCTCATACTGCCTCCTTTTGTGGTTCTTATTCCTGTCTCTTTGTTCCATGGAATTCCTCTGTTTCCAATGATATTTTCACGTATTATGCTCACTGGTTGAGTTCGTCAACTCATATGACTGGCATATTCTGGCGTGTCCATGGACAGGCACTGTCTACATCATGTTTCTTCACAACAAACTTGTCATCTAACTATGTCTTAAGATACTTGCAACCTCTGTCCTTTGGAGGAGATCGTTCAGGCGAGTATGTGGACAACTCCCAATACTTTTATTGCTCTTTATATGCACAACACAGCTGTGTCTTCCTTAAGCGGGTATCATCTTCCTCCTATGACAATTCTACACATGTCTGTTTACCTTTGCCTGGGGTAAGTTGACATATTATTCTTTTTTTACATTAATTCATTGATATACATCATATTTTAGGATCCAACCTGGTGGCGGGTGTTGCCTGGTCAGATATTTTGAATATTATATGTTGGCACTATATCTGTATACTTCCATAATGCTCACTGTGGAGATGGGGTGTTTCTGTAAGACCCTCGACTGCTTATCCGGTGGTGTGTGTGTATATATCTATATCTATATATATATATATATATATTTTTCCCTTATTACTGTATCATACATAAAGGACCATCACTCATGGACTTCATGAGTAAAGCAGATGGGGATTTTTCCCATTCCTACTGACCCGGGATTCTTACAATCAGGGTCTTTCTTTTCAAAATAGGGAATCGCAGACACCCATTGCACTGTCTCCAGTGTGTTATTCCTCCAGACTCCCCAATCCATATCCCCCCCCCCCCTTTTCTTCCAGTGGAGCACCGGAGTTCTTGCCACTTCCAGTTCTCAGTCACTGGAGTGGTGGGCTGTGGAGGTTTCCTCTGGAATGGGATTTGTACGATAAAACAAATTTCATAGCTATATGCGCCACTCTATGAGAAAAGAACTATCGTACTTATGTTTCATATTTCCAATATCATAATTAGCTCAATCCAGGGTGCTTTTCCAATATGTTTTTTGCCTGGGTAGACTTCACTTGTTGTTCACTAGATAATTTTTGTTTTTTTATGGAAGGTGCTTCCACTGGATATTTTCTACCCAGATGGACTGCACTTCACATACTCCATAATTTCACAAGGCATTTCCCCTAGATGTTTTTGCCAAGGCTGACTGTACTTGTTGATCACATAATCTGTTATGTACTGTACATGAAATGAAAGAAATACTATGTAAGGTGCTTCAACTGTTGTTTTTGATTGGATGGACTGCATTTGGCATAATCCAAGGTACTTCCAATGGATGTATTTTGCCTTGGCGGACTGCACTTGGCATATTCATATACATTTACAGTCCTTTAGTCTTAGTCACACATTCTTATGTCTGATTCCAGGTACCTTCTTCAAATCGGACTATGACTGTGCCACGTGCTCATGCTTGTTAATATGTTAACATCTTACGTACTATCTGTTGTCCACTGGTGAAATCATATTACATTACATGGTTCCTGTCTTTTAAGTTCTGACCTATGTATCTTACTTGCGAAGAGCATACCTGTTCCAGAAGTAGTGCTATAACCTACAGGTGTGCCTCCTTTTATAATTGTGGCACACCTGTTCTTTCAATGCAGTTGTTTCCACTTGTTTGATTACTTTTGCACCTTCACCGGCCCCTCCATCTTTGCAAGGTGGGATTCTAGCTTTGGGTGAGAGGAGGTAGTACTGTTTTGGAAGTTAACATTTTCAACCATTGAAAATGTATTTCTGATAAGTACTTACCTCCGCTCACCCACTTCCCACCTTTCCTCCCCACTGATTTGCCAGTGTTTCTGGCTTGTATCTACCAATTCTTAAAAGTGAGGATTGTGCTTCAGTGGTAGAGGGAGCTACCTACACTAGTACAGATAGTGCAGTATGTTTGGTGGAGGGTAATCACATGATCAGCATATGTTGCTGCAATGGTGCAAAAATGAAGGGGTATGAAAGACTGATGTGCTGTTGAAAAAATGTTACCAATGCTTAGAGGGCAAATCAAGGTCAAGATAGCTTTGGATATTTTCAGTGTTAGAAAATGTTAAGTTTTGTTTAAAAACCTACTCAAATTCATTATGATTCCTGATTGTGGGGGTATTTCAGTTAGTGTTTAAGTGGATTTTTAATTAATTTTATCAAATATAAATTTAATTTGTTATGCTTCTCAAGATACCATGAAATATTGTTTTCCTGTATCTGTTCTAGTACTTTAGCTGGTATAAGGTATTTTGTCAATATAATTGAAAAACTTGGTTATCATTGGATAACCAGAGTATTACAATATTTCACCAGGATTAACCTGGGATCATTAGGTACATCATTGTAGTTGATGTACCTGAATGAGCATTTGTAAGTTCAGGAAATTGTGTTGCATTTTATTTTAACAGCAGCTCATTACTTCTGGTTGTACCTGGTAATGTTATTATCAGGTTGTAAAGAGACCTTTAATTAATGACGTATGAGTTTATGAGTACACTAATGTTTAGTTAAACTGTTCTATTTTCTTTTCTTTTGTAAACACTAATTGTTTAAGAAAAATAATGTTTAATAGTACACAATAAAAAAAACAACTAAGATGAGACCTATTGTATAAAGATGAATCTTGAGGCTGCCAACTAATCTTGTACACAAATAATGTTTAGCTAAACTACTCTGTTTTCTTTCTTGTTTTAATACTAATTGTTGAAGGAAACAAATATTTAATAGTACACAATAAAAAAACCAACTAAAATGAGACCTATTGTATAAAGATGAATCTTGAGGCTGCCAGCTAATCTTGCACACAAATAATGTTTAGTTAAACTACTCTGTTTTCTTTCTTGTTTTAACACTAATTGTTGAAGGAAACAAATATTTAATAGTACACAATAAAAAAAACATTAAAATGAGACCATCTCAGTCTCAAAATACAATAAAACATTTATTCAGTAATCTGTTGTATAAAGATAAAAACTTGAGGCTAATAGCCATTCTCACACACCCTACATCTTTGATGTATTAGTTTGTCATCATCAGAAGGAATGCATCAAAATGTGGAATGTATGAGACTGCCGGCAGGTTCAAGATTTTATCTTTATACATAGATTATTAATTAAATGTTGTATCTTATTTTGAGACTGGAATGGTCTTATTAAAAAGACATTATTGTGTAATATTAAACGTTTTTGTTTCTTCATCAACTGTGGTGTTTAAAAATTTTACACTACTGTCATTTTAACTTTAATAAATTGTTTTTGTGCAGTACTGTTTTCTCCACATGGAAAAGGAGTAGAGAATTCTTTGAGGAAGAAGATATTGGTCAGTTGTCCTCTGACGTTATGTATTATCTCATATCATTTTAGATTTCACCATGTTACACTATTGTATGCTTGTTATTGTAACTAAAAGAAATTAGACAAGGAAAATACAGTACAAAAGGAAAAATATTTAATGAGTACTATGAATGGTAGGTAAAAGTATCTGTGTTGCAGAAATAAATTTCAATATTGAACTCCATTCCACATTGACATATATCTTTAAATTATAGGGGTAATGTAGATGTTAATGTTAAAACTGCTTTTCTTAAATATGCACTTGATTTACTAATATACACAATGTTCAGCAGATGACAGTTATTACGTAAAACTCAAATCTTGAAAGGTTGCATTTGTTAATTTTACAAACATTGTGCAGTATTAGTTAAGTAAAGCCACTTATAACATTAGCAATTTTACCAGTCTCTGAATTGGTATTTCATTTGTAGTTGTACCTTGGCAGCATAACATGATCAATGTTATTGTGCTGTTGAAACTAGTATTATCTTCTAAAAACACAAGAGTATACTCTTCAGCTTTGTTTGGTTCACTTGATGTGATTGGAAATAAGCTTGAATGCAAAATAGTTTAATATTTGAATTTTTTTAGTATACATATTGTGTACATTTTCTTGCTTGAACTAATATTCAAAACAAATTTAAAAAGTTTTATGGTTTAGAATAGTTTTATAGGTCTAGAGATACAGTGTTAAATGAACACAACTAGAGATATTAATAAGTTACTTTCTTTTGTATTATATTACTATGAACATGTTCTTCAATACATAATGCTTTTTTTTTACTTACAAGGTTAAGGAAAAACCATCCCACCATAAGTTATTAAAGACAAAACCTTACAACAGTTGTCAACGGAAGCTCAAGATCTCCATTGAAAGCAAAAACAAAGACAAGTCTGGTAAGTAACTTTCTCAGTTAGTAATTTATAGCTTCTGAAATTAGTTACATCTGTATGTATTTGTGTTTGTATATATATATGCTACATTATGCATTGTAAGATACAATGTGTGTCCTGCATATTAATGCTAAAATCAGTGTCAAAACGGAGCATCGAATCTTACAAACGTATTAAAAACAACAAACAAGAAGTTATGGAAGGTTGAAAGGTGAGTTTATATTGTATATTCTTAATTGAAGGAACAAACTGAACATTTCACATGCAGTTCTACTGAAAAAGTTAAATGTTAATTTAATCAGGGAATATGTTACAAATTGCTTATTAATCCTCTCCACATGGGTGAAAGGCCATGTCATCACATTTGTCAACTCGCAATCAAAATTTTATTGAACTACTATTTAGTGAATTTATGTGAAGTTTGGTATCAAACTGGAGACTATAATTCACGTTTAAGTATTATACATTATTTGATTTCTTAACTTAATAGTAAATATAAAAAAAAATGCATCTAAACATTGATTTTTGTGTGTCACGTGGTATGTTGAATGCAGCACTGGTTCAAATTAGAAGTTTGTGATGTCAAAATACATAGTCTGTAGTTTTGTACAAATTAGAAATTCAAATTACCAATATTAACAAGCTAAAATATAAAATAAGAACCTCCTATCTTTTCTATTTGTTGAGATATCACTCATGTACTGAATCAAACACAGTGGCCCCACTCACCTCTTTCCATTTTTGGAAACGCTCCTTTATATACGCTTACTTCTGTCTATGACATGTGAATGACCAATTCAAAGCTCAGAATGTCCCCCGAGTGTATTTCTTAGCCATTTTCAAGTATTACAATGTCATCTCGTTCTTTTGAAACAAGTCTTCATGCTGGTAAATTAAGTCTTTAGTCTGCTTGAAATTTCATATTTCATTAGACCTAAATACAGCTTAATTACTAAGCTTGATAAATTATAGTGGAATTCTATGGTATTGATATAGTAATTTATGATTTTTTGGTTATTTGAAATGTATATATAAAATCTTAAAAAAAATATTTTGTTTCACGTCCTCCATGTGCAAAAATTTTAT